TGGTTGCTGTATCAACACGAACATGCATCAGTAATGGAAGCATAAATGGAGAGACCAATAATAAAGAAAATGTGATTGTGAAGACAAGTAATTATTTAATATTTTTCAGTTAATAGCACTGACTGCAACAAACTGCTGAAGCATGAGACAAACAGGATTAAGAACGTAAGAAGATATGTTGTTGCCCAAGCGCAAATGGTGCTAAATTTTCTCGTCGGGCGGCCCAAGCTTTATTTGTCATGTCTTTCACCTCCCCTTGTGGCCGCGCATAGTAGTGTTGGGATACATCATGGCCGCGCCCTGTAGGAAGCCGCCGTATTTGATTCTACTGTGCATGGCACTGCACAGGTTCACGTGACTAGAGGCGAGTTCACTATAAAAGACAGAGTGGAACCACGCTAGAAACACACAAACACACGCAGGAAGACGGCGCCACCACAGGGATGGGATTTCTTGGTGAAACCTCCAGCAAAATGGTTTAAAACGGTGAGGAGAAGCGAGAAAGTTAAAAACGGTATGAAGCAGAGAAGTGTGTGTGTAGGTGGAATGATTCTTGGCAGTTTAAAGAAGACGGGAGGCGCCGAGAATGGCTCGAGTACAGCAAAGCGGAGGAGGTGAAGTATTGCGCTGTATGCCAGAAGTATGCGACGACAAAATCGAGTTTTGTTGAGGAAACAAATAAATTCAAACTAGAATACGTTAAAGACCATGAAAAAACAGCGAGCCACATGAAGGCAGAAAAGACTGCTCTTGCAAATACAGCAATGGTAAGAGAGTCGCCAGCTTCAAAGGCCCTCATGGCGATGACGAAAGCACAGCAAGACAAACTGGAAAAGTTGTTTCGTACGGCTCACGTCATTGCAAAGAAAGGAAGGCCATACACAGACTTCACTTGAATGTGCGAGTAAGTATTATTTGCTTAACAAATATCAAAATACTGGGTTTGATCTGTTGACAAGAACTTTGAGGTGGAGGGACATACGTACTAGTCCACCACTAGCCAAATATTCAGCCTGTATCACAATGGTGCCAGAGACTGACACAGTGCTGGTTGTAAATATGTAAATATATAAAGAAAAGTTTAATATGTTTGTGAATGTGTACAAAATAAAGGTTTATTACATTTAAAATGGTTCAGTTGTTATTTGAACTTATTTTGGCAGCTGACCTGGCGGGGCCAGTAAATTTTCAGAGTTACCGGCCCGGCTGGCCAGTTGGTTTTGAAGTTAATGTCCACCCCTGGTAAGGGTTTGAATAGTAAACTATAGGGTTAACGTTTTATTTTGAAGGCGAGCTCAAAGGGTGAGAAACTTTGTTCCGTTTTTTTTTTCCCGCTCTGGTTTGCTATGCTAGTAAATACTCCGTTACGAGTGATTCTGTTGAAAAAGTTAAGAGTTTGTAAGGCGTAGGTTACGGCGACAGTAGCCCGAAAATAATCCTCATAAAAGAGAAACCAGAGACTCTGATTCATTACTGTATAATCGCTGATATTAGCCAAAGATTCCAGCCATGTTTGCCCTAATAACTAATAACTCCACGGTGTATGACCCATGTGATCTTCAGTAGATGCAATTACATCATCATACATTTAGCTTAACGTAATAGATTTTTTTTTCTCTGGACAAGAAAAAAATGATATGGGCCACCTCTAGATGAAATTTAAATAATTTTACATTAATTATAAATATATAATTAAAAAGTGCCTGTGAGCCATTTGATACACCTCCAGCTCTGAACTTTGTGTGTGTGTGTGTGTGTGTGTGTGTGTGTGTGTGTGTGTGTGTGTGTGTGTGTGTGTGTGTGTGTGTGTGTGTGTGTGTGTGTGTGTGTGTCAACAGACAGCTGTACCAGGGTAGAGAACAGGCACTGAGGTTAAAGTTTGACAAGAATCAACACATTTTTATGCATTTAATCTACTGATTTATGTGTATAATTTCTCAAAACAGCTTGAAGTGAGTTAACTTGTAAATATTTTACAGGAGGAAAAATATCGAGATATATATATCGTATATTGGAATTCAGCAAAAATATATCGAGATATAAGTTTTCGTCCATATCGCCCAGCCCTAATTTCTGATTATAATCGGTCACTCTGAGTTTTTCATGCAGGCTGAACATGAAAACAGTCTCCTACATATATATCCTGCATTAGCGTTTGGTAGAAAATAGATGGTGAAATGCTAGGATTTGAAAATCCTCAAATATCTCTGTCACACTGTGAATTTGCAGTCATGGCCTCGCCCATCTTGGCACGTGCTAGCCCACAGTAAAGCTTTTTTTTTTTTATTGCAGCGAGGAGAGAGAACAAGTGTCTTGGTGATAGTGACTCTATAACATGGCTGAACACATTCTGTTAGCCAATCATATCATTAATAATAATGAGCAATCCTGCTGTTTTCAGCCCACCTCTGCACCAGCAAACTTCTGCATCTCAGAACAGGAGCATTTCTTTTTTTCTCTCTCCCAAATGACTCATAAGGCATTGATTTACACTAAATAACACTTCAAAACATTTAAATCACACCTTTAAGTAAAGAAATGATCATTAAATTTACTACAAAAGAGCACTCAATTAATGCTGACAACGTCAAATGTTTAACACTCTAGATTAGTCTGTCACTGGCACAAAAACACAATGTGGTCTATGAAACAGCTTTGCATTGATACTGGTCAAACTCAATTGACAATCCATTAACATGGGGGTTTTCAGGAAAGCTATCATCCCTGCCATACTCTGTTTCCTCAGCCTGCAGATGATTTACTAAAAATAGGAGCACCGAGGGGCAGCTATGGACATGTGTGTACAAAAGTTGTGTTTTCTCTGGACAACATCGGAGCTGACACAATCGTGGGCCTTACATTCCTGCAGCAATTTTTCCTCCCCGAAGAAGCATTTGAAAGAAGTGAATAGGTCAGAGCCATCAGTAGAACGCACTTTAATGACATGACCTATAACTCACTGATGCCCTCACAACGGATGTTAAGGGTTTGCTAAACAGACAACTAAATAAGATGTATCCTGCAGCTCTATTGAGTGTTGTAATTTAAACCAAATGGGTCCTAAAAAGATGCTTTATCTTTATGCAAAACAAAGTGCTCCAATATGACTTACGAATTAAAAAAATGCAATCCTAATATGCAAAAATATCAGCTTATTGTGGCTTTTTTTTTTGTCTCAAAAAGGCAGAAAAATGCCACTGAAGGAACATTTAGCCACTAATTTGGATAAGTGCTTAAAGGTCAGTGATGTGATTGTGTACAAAAAGAGTAAGCTAGTGTCTGGCTGGGCAGCAGCTGACAAAACTGAGACAAAATTAGGAGAAAGTATTGAGATTTTTAGGCAGAATCTACAAGTTTTCTATACAGTCAAGTCACATGGGGCTTGTGCCACAAGTGCAAACAAAGTGCAACATCCACACAACAATCCTGCAAATTTTTCAATTCCAATTTACTCACACAGTGTCTAATTACATATGTCTCAATTTATGCAAAATTTATTAATTTCATTTTCAGTGTTGCAGATTGCCCACATCTTTTGAAAATGCACAAAATTTCAGCAACATTGTGATATTGAGAATTGAGTCACTCACTGATGTTTCAATGTTAAACCGTCGTAAATGTATCCTATAGAAGTAAATAGATGCACAGAACAAATACAACTCTGCTTGTGAATCATCAAAAGCAGATGAGACATGTCAAAGTAAAAGAACACACTGGGGGACTGAAAGCATAATATGCTGGTGAATCTGCCCTTGTTTGGGCATCTGGGCAAACCCTGTAACTGTTGTGCACCGTGACTAAAACAGAAGAAATCTGGGGAGGCAGAGCTAAGAAATTTAAAGGAAAAAAAGGAAAAATCACTGAAGTGAAAGAATTCTGCCAGTGAGAAGTAAAAAAGAGGGAGAAATAAAACACTTACATGGATTTAGAATAAGCACTTCCCAAACACCCCGTCCCGCTAAGCCCTAACCATGAGTACGGCAAAAGCACAGCAGCCTTGCATGTTTACACTGAAAAGGCAATCCCTGGAAGGTCTGGTTCCTAACAATCACAGGAAAACCATGTAAGCCAGAAAAGGAAACAAAACAACTCAGTTTTCCCCGAGTCTGACCTCTTACAAAGTTTTGTTTGCCCCATTCAGCTGCTAGTCCAAACACAGAAGAACAAACCTTTTATAACCTCAGATCTTAATAAGAAATCCTCCTTAATGCAGGTCTTCAACCACCCGGTCATTCCAAAAGCAACAGCTAAGGAAGCGTACTCGCTCTTCCTGCTTGTCTGCATGGATATCTACTCTAACCGGATGAGCAACTGAGGAATACTGCAGGGAAGGACGTGACATTGACAGGTGCTCCCTCCTACCCCCGTTCTTGCTCATGTTAACAATACACACCTCCCTGCAATAAATCTAAGTCGGACTGCTGATTAATAGCAGAAAACCCAGTTCAATAAACAATTATTTGGGGTTAGCTCGACTAAGTAGGGTTCAGAAATCAAAATATAGCAAAAAAAAAAAAATTGAAAGCTGAATTTCCAAGAATGTGGAAGACTAAAAGGATGCCAGAAAAATGCAATAAAAAGGGCATCTGTGTTTATGCGTGACCAAAAAGGGTGTGGAACGACCTTAAAGTGTCCCGCAGAGATCGAGTGAGTCAGAGTACATGACCCTTCTGTGAAACCCTGCAGGAGTCCAACTTCCTGATTCAAACCAGGCCAGTAAACAATCTTCAACTTAGGGTTCATAATGTTGCTCCCAACAATCTGGAGTTATTCTCATGGGGAAAAAATACAACTTTTAACTATGGGCTGCATGACAGAGATGTAAGTTATACTAACAAAATACAAGCATGACACATAATATGTCACATCTAACAGCCTCACCAGACAAGTTAGAACTCAGTGTACTTCAATAGTTAATGAAATGCAACATTGCTTCATTACTGGAGATATAGCGTGAGTCAAAGGAGCTGCAGACACAGTCAGAACACAGGAAGCTTTACCTGCTCTTTGACGGAGGCCAGGATGTTGTTGGCGGTGTTGTCAGTCTCCATTTTGCGTCCAGTCGAGCTGTCGCAAATGGTCAGCAGGAACCCCTCCTCCGTCAGTGGGCTCTGCTCAGGAGCTGGCATTCCTCCTGTGCGGACACACAGAAAGATTTGGTAACTAATGTGGCTTAGCTAAAGATCTTACACTGACACACACCCGAACATGTGCATGGCTGCACAAACACACTTCGCTCATAAATTAGACTTGATTCAACCCTTCTATTGCATACCTGCAATTGATGCTGAGAAGTGACTCCCAGTGGTCACACACACACACAAAAACACGCACCCACACATGCCATATGGTCCAAATAGAGATGGACTGTCAATGTTTTATGTCTGTGACAATGCAAATGAATGCCATATGGCCTTGATACAGCATTCCACTTAACTATGTATGTGTGAGGTTTTGTACTGTTACAAATAATGTGACACAAACAGAAAAACCTCCGTTTTCTGTACTGATGATGGAAGGAAAATGAAAAATTCCAAAAATGGAAACCCATGGTTGAATGCTGCACAAGTTTAGTCAGTGACACAGTGGGCTCTAATCTTGACTTGAGGAATGCAACGAGGAACTAAAACTATGATACCTGTTTACAGAAAGGGTGTGAAGGGCACTCTGACTGCAGGGAATTGTCAGTCAAATCTGTTGAAAAGTTGTGAATAACAGCTATTATGGATGAAAGAAAATATCAATACACTAAAAACAATCACGATATTTCATGTTATGATACAGGATTGATAGTAAAATTTCATGTCTGGTGCAATTCAATCTCTGACCGCTAGGTGGCAGCAGATTTTACCGCCTTCATAATGATGGATCGAGATCTTGCGATAACACTGGACGTGTCCTGGAAGCTTTCAGATTAAATTTGAACGTGTGCATTTCAAATATCGTCAATTGGTATTGCAATATATCGTATCGTATCCCCGTGTTGTGATATATTGGTATTGCCAGATTAATGACAATAATTGCTATTTTACCTGATGTAGATAGTCATAAAAAGCTTCTGATGCAGAGACTGATTTATTGCTGCATAAAAATGCATTCTGCTGTTATTCCCAACAAAAGTATGCAGCTCTTAAAAGATCCCCAAACACTCAGAGGTAATGTGACTCCCGAGGTATTTTGGGAGTCTCCGCAAAACACTGAGAGCTATTCAAGGTGTCTGGACTGAACCGAGTCAGGTGCCAAACCTTCTCTAAAATAACATTTGATGGTCTGCTACTACAGAGTGGGTAGGTACACACAGAATTTTCCAGGAATCCCCCATTACTCTCCCAGATTCCTTTCTTACTCATTCATAGTTTTGCAGGATGCTACCCTAATCCCCTCCCACCTTCACTGAAGCCTTTGAGACAAGGACAGAGCAGCTCGTTTCCAGAAAACCGAGCAAATGGAAACTCATAAACAGGGACTGGGGAACTGTAGATATGAAGGCTGCCAACACAGTCAGGCTAAATTAAATTATCTTACGCTTTCTTTTTTAATATAAAGGGTGTATAGATGCCGTCATGCATATAAGACCATAAAACAGCCTTTTGACCTTTTAGTAACATGATACGACTAACTTGGCTAAAAATATCACTGCTCAGGATAAAGACACTTAAATTGTGACAATAACTTGTACATATAATATTTCTCTACTTTTGGAAACTTATCGTTAAAATGTTCCTAAAAGTAACAGAAAATACATACAAAAGTGTTTATGTCCATTCACACTGAATTAATTAAAAAAAAAACATAGAAAAACCCAAGTGAACCTACCTTTGACATTCCCCATTACATCTGATCTAGAAGAATATCAAGTCAGTTTGGTTTTGCATTCCCAGAAAACAGAAGCGAAGTAATGACGTGGTTGAAAAGCCATCCCATAGTCCAGCATACTCGTTCCTCAACATTTCACCCCTACCATGAAACGCACAAAACCCTGGTGAAAAGTCTGAAGGCTACAGCTTTGGTATGACGGCCCCTTCATCGGTTCAGGCAGAAAAACAAGAACCTGTGGAAGCCAGCCCAGTCTGTGCAGGTCTCAAGGCTGTCATTAGATTAATGTCTAAGGATCCCACTGTGTAGTTCCCACTGAGTAAATATGACTTCACTCTGGTCAAAACAGAAGGGCAGGCCGGTATTTAATTATCACCATTATGGCTGCCTCTCTGGAGAACGTAAGAAACACACATGGTAAAGCAAGGCTTTATTCCAACACACTATAAAAACATCTCTTTTACTAGATTCTATTTGTAGACTAAGCAAAATCTTCCTTTTATAGGAAAATAATCCTCTGTCTCTGAAGTCTGCTGAGAAAAGTCCTGGTCCGACCCCTCCCTAATTCACCGAAACACCCGATCTGATCTGGTGACCTCAAACTTGTGGCCACTCCTCCAAGCTCCTTATACAACCTCTTTTTGTGTGAAACTTTCCTCACTTAAATGTAGCATACTCTGGAAGACAGGAAGGGAAAAGAAGTGGAGTACTATTTGAAACTGTAACATGTAAGATCTTGCTGAAATCTGTTGAAGGAGGTGTAGCAGTGAGGCGTTTATCTAAATTCTGCCATACTCCCATTAGTTCGTTGAGGGACATGAATCAGTTAGTGAGCTGATCCAAACCAAAATCAAACTGTGCCTTGAGTCACATTCTCCATAAAGCACTGGAGTAGCAAATGCAAAATCTAATACAGGCTGCATTCAAATGCATGGGGGTAAAAGGTTACAGGAAGAAAGTCGAAAGTATGTTTACACAAGATATTTAAAGAGAGAGGAGAGATTTATTGTTTTAAAGCCTGAAAAACACCCTCTTCCAACTCTAATGTTCAGCAAATTAGAACTTTAAACATAGTTTCCAATATATTTGGTCTTAATTATCATTTTCTAAACAATAACTATAAAAAATAAAGCTTTCCTTACATTACAACAGAGCGATGGTTTTTATCTTCTTTATGACCTTACTTTTAGGTTTCTAAACATTTACTCGGATATTTTAGTCTCAACGATTTTAACAGCGGTCTGAACTTTGACTGGGACATTGAGACAACTTGAGATTGATCTTTTTAGGAATTATGCTGTAGATATGCTTCAGATCATCTTCCTGTTGCATGACATGAGCTGTGCAGGGTTTGGATTGACAACATTCCCCTGGTGAGATGTAAACCCTCTTCAACACTGAGAAAAATAAAAAGTCCAGTTGTATTCTTACAATAAAGTCTTGGGACCTGTTGTATGATACAATTTTGTCTCAGGGGTGTTTTTCAAGATAAAGGGCTCTAAAGTTTAATCAATTGAATGCAATTAGGTAAAAATCCGTAACCTAAAACTCGAGGAAAACTGTAGAAATAGCAACAGATTTTGCTCTGTAGGTCAGTCTAGCTACGCTGCATTGTTGGTTAAGCCAATCACAGTGCTCTATATTTTTAGAGAGACGTTGGTCAGGCTTAGCACTAGAACTGAAATGGAAAATGTCCCTAGCTCCCGCTGTAAATCCCGCGGGGAGCACACCTTTTCAGTTTGTGCACCGAAGCTCTGGAACCACTTGCCCCTCCTGATCAGACTTTTCCTCTCTTTCCCTTTTTAAGTCTCATTTAAAAACTCCCTTTTATTCTTTGGCTTTTAATTCAGTCTAACTTATTCTCTTTCTCCCTTTTCTTTTCGATTTGAATTACTCGATTTTAATGGATTTAGTTTTCATTTCTGATTGTTTTTATTGTGTGTTTTTGTTCAGCACTTTGGTCAGCTCTCATGCCGTGTTTAAATGTGCTATACAAATAAACTTGGTATGGTATGGTATGGTATGGCAGAAGATGTGACCGAGAGCGTAGGTTAACAAGGGCGTCGATTAGAAGCACTCATTGTTCCACGGCGCTTTGCAGCGCTTCCGCGTCTGGTGTATTCCGGGTATTATCCAGCCAAGATGCCATTGATGGGAACGGCCCACTAGGCTTCAGTTCAGCTCTCCAGAAACCTACAGGTGGCGGCGTGGAGGGCTCGTCCATCATACATATAGAGTCAATGATTACACCCCATGACCGAGCTCTGTCAATCGGTCTTGGCTTATCTTCATATCTACATTATTAGGACGGCTTGCCAGGCAAAAAAATTGCACATCTATGTAAATTTACAATATACCTGAAACTATAAACCAGGAGACAAGATTCTGTAGCAGAAATATAACTTTATTAATAATTTTATTGACTTCTTCTAAAAAAAACTTAGTAACCTCTACTGACATGCATTTAAGCCCTTTTTCTTCTAGAAGACATTTACCACTGCTGTCTGCTGAAGAGGTACCGTCCTCCAAGTCAATCCCATTATGCTCACAAATCTGCTGACCAGGAAAATTTGTCTTCAAATTTAACTCCCTAAACCACAAAACATCCAGCAACTCAACTGTAACAGACTTACAACCTGAACTGATTCTAAACTGACTTTTCTGCAAAAACTAAATAATTTATGAGCAATTTAGCAAAATTATGTGTTGGAAACATTTGATGTGAAGACAGAAACCTTTAGACAAGTAGCATGACGCTTCCAGATACGTTGCTGAATTCTCAAACAATTCCTGCAAGCCTATCCTGAGCACATCTTAACATAAGGTGTGAAAGTGCTGACGGAAGCTCTGGAAAAGTAATTGCTTTGAGCAGAATTTATGCTGCACATTATATGAGATGTCTTTGTGTAAGCAGGAAAACACATAAAACTTATTTAAGGAAAATAACAATAAAAAAACCTCTGTGCAACCTAAACCTGCCAGCATCTAAACATACACATTTCTGTTGTCCTAAAAGGCTGAGATGTGTTACTCACACTGACACACCCAAAAGCAAAGGAATGCCTTGCTTGGACACACAACTCTATTAATGATTATCCCCTGAAAGCCTGAAAGAACAATAAAGGCTCCTTTAAATAGACACATACCTGTCATTCTGTTGGGTTTGGATTAAACAACCGGAGATGGATGAGTCTGAGTGGAGTGGAACATCAATCCTACAGCTTCGTCTCATCAAAGAGGACAGGAAAAGGAAGGCACTTGGAAGCTGCACCCACGCTCATTTTACTTTTTGAACCTCACCCCCACAAATGTCGCAACAATCCGACGCGAGCACGTGTCCACAGGGCAGGACCTTCTGCTGATTAAAGGCAGGAAACACGATGTACACAAACTCTCCAACGTCCTCTGAGGTGCATTTTTTCTTGAAAACATGTTTACTCAAAAAGGACGCTGGAAATATGACCGCTCTGCAAAACAATTCACATTTTTATATATATTTCTGTTCACGGGTTCCAACAGGGATGATTCACCTGCAAAACAATTTTCCTCACAACAGCAGGTCAAATAGCAGAGAGGCTCGACTCATCAGCTGTTTCCGCCGCGGCACTCGTAGTAACACAGAATGGGGCATAAATTATTCTGATTGCATGCAAATCCCTTAAATAGAATCAGAGATAGTGCTAGACAGACATGCTTCACCCTGTCACACATTGTTAAACAAATGCATTCAACACCCCAATGTATTTCCGCATACAATTACACTGTAAACACTACATTAGCAGTCCCTGAGAAGGAACGAGCATTTACATAAGTCAGTTAAACTAATTCCTTGGGAAACAAATGTGCCAGAACACCCGTGTTACTTAAAATATGATTAGGGTTCAACGTATTCATTATTTAACCTCATTTACCAGTTCATTAAAGATGTGTTTAATGCTTTATTGAACCCATGCACTCCATTTGTCGTGTCAGACATTTTTTGCTGATTTGGTAACTCTTTAATAACATGATTTTCACATTTACACATGTCACATATGGTTGAGTTTTTATGTCACAGGATAGAAATGTCGAAACCAAAAAGAAAAATGAGCAACAAAAATGTCTTCAGCTTAACAATAAAAAGTGTCTTGTGCATAGTTATTATTATACCCCGTCAAAGATGTTTAGAATGGGGTTACTACAAAGAAGCAACTGCTGGAAATGCGGAAATAATGTCGGTACCTATCTCCATGTTTTCTGGGACTGCCCGTTGGTGTTCCCGTTTTGGATTGAGGTGATTAAAATGTTGGAGAAATGGACAGGTATATCCACACCTCGATCACCTCAACTGTGTCTTCTGGGAGACGAATCTCTAAGACCCCCCAGGATCTACAAAATAATTGTTTGGGCTAATGGTGGTGGGATTTATTGTGGCGGCAAGACTCATTTTGGGGACCTGGAAAAGTCCCCACAAGCCCAAGACTGAGGACTGGGTTAAACTCATGACAGAGACTGCCTCATTTGAATGCCTGATTGGAAAAATAAGGAATGCCCAAACAAAAACAAGGCAAGTGTGGAGTCATGTTCTGCTGTACATAAGATCACATGATGGTCTTTCCTCTGTATGATGATGTTATTCACTTATTTAATTATCTGCTTATTTTAATTCTGCTTATTTCCCTTTTATATATTTAGTTGTTTTTTTTTTTCCCTGCTCGTGTGTTTAATTTAGGCCAGGGTTATGGTTGTTATGTTACATGGTGATGTCTTTGGGTTTGAATATAAAAGGTAAAAGTCAATAAAAATTTTAATGACCAAAAAAACATAAAAATAAAATAAAAAGTGTTTATTAGATAAATACCTCACCTCACACAGCACTTTTTAATAATGCTGATTATAGCAAGTGTAGAAATATCTGTAGGAAATGTTGTTAAATGTATTAAATATATTTTGCATTTTAGGGAAACAAGTCTAGATTTTTTGGTTTAGCATGCTAAAATAAGATCCGTATTGGACCTTTTTATGCTAATTTGTTAATAAAATGCATTTATTACCACCCACTAAAGAAAGTGTTGCATAATAATTTTTTCTCTAAAAACCCACACTTTGAAAATGAACATAATTTTACTAAAAGCTAAAACTAATAAAAGTCAATAAAATTATCCATTTGCATTAAAAAAGATAAATCTTCAATTTGCAACAAAAAACAAAGACACGTTGAGGTTTACCCCAGTGAATGAGGGTAGCATCCCTCCGCCTACGTGTGGGGGGACGGGTTCTGACTGTGGTCTGTGCTTATGCACCAAACTACAGTTCAGACTACCCACCCTTTTTGGAGACCTTGGAGGGGGGTGCTGGAGAGCGCTCCATCCGGTGACTCCCTCGTTCTGCTGGGGGACTTTAACGCTCACGTGGGTAACGACAGTGAGACCTGGAGAGGTGTGGTTGGGAGGAACGGCCCCCCTGATCTGAATTCGAGTGGTGTTTTGTTATTGGACTTCTGTGCCAGTTATGGATTGTCCATAATGAACACCATGTTCAGACATAAAGGTGTCCATATGTGCTCTTGGCACCAGGATACCTTAGGCCGCAGCTCGATGATCGACTTTGTTGTTGTTTCATCTGACCTGCAGCCGCATGTCTTGGACACTCGGGTGAAGAGAGGGGCGGATCAGTCAACTGACCACTACCTGGTGGTGAGTTGGCTCAGATGGTGGGGGAGGATGCCAGTCAGACCAGGCAGGCCCAAACGTATCGCGAGGGTCTGCTGGGAACGTCTGGCAGAGTCTCCTGTCAGAAGGAGCTTCAATTTCCACCTTCGACAGAACTTCCAAAATGTTCCAGGGGAGGCGGGGGACATTGAGTCTGAATGGACTCTGTTCCGTGCCTCCATTGTTGAGGCGGCCGACTGGAGCTGTGGTCGCAGGATCGTCGGTGCCTGTTGTGGTGGCAACCCCCGAACCTACTGGTGGACACCGGCAGTTAGGGCTCTTTCTTCAGCTTGACAGCATCCCTATCAGGTCTTTTTGGCCTGTGGGACTCCAGAGGCAGCTGAGGGGTACCGGCAGTCCAAGCGGAACGTGGCTCGGGTGGTCGCCGAGGCAAAAACCCGGGCATGGGAGGAGTTTGGTGAGACTATGGAGCAAGACTTCCGTATGGCTTTGAGGAGATTCTGGTCCACCATCCGGCACCTCGGAGGGGGAAAGCAGTGCGCTACCAACACTATCTATAGTGGGGACAGTGTGCTGCTGACCTCTACTCAGGACGTTGTGGATCGATGGGCAGAATACTTCGAAGACCTCCTCAATCCCACCGACACATCTTCCAGTGAGGAAGCAGAGTCTGGGGACTTTGAGTTGGCCTCTCAAATCTCTGGTGCTGGGTCACTGAGGTGGTTAAAAAGCTCCTCTGTGGCAAGGCTCCAGGGGTGGATGAGATTTGCCCGGAGTTCCTTAAGGCTCTGGATGTTGTGGGGCTGTGTTGGCTGACACGGCTCTGCAATATCACATGGACATCAGGGGCAGTCCCACTGGACTGGCAGACCAGGGTGGTGGTTCCCTTATTTAAAAAGGGGGACTGCAGGATGTATTCCAACTACAGGGGGACCACACTCCTGAGCCTTCCTGGTAAGTTCTATTCAGGGGTTCTGGAGAGGAGGGTCCATCGGATTGTTGAACCTCAGATTCAGGTGGAGTAATGTGGTTTTCATCTTGGCTGTGGAACATTGGACCAGCACTATACCCTTAGGGGGATCCTGGAGGGTGCGTGGGAGTTTGCCCAACCAGTCTACATGTGTTTCGTGGATTTGGAGAAGGCGTTTGACCTCGTCCCTCGGGGGGCCTGTGGGGGGGGGGGGGGGGGGGGGGTACTCCAGGAGTATGGGGTACCAGGATCCCTGATATGGGCTGTTAGGTACCTGTATGACCGGTGTCAGAGCTTGGTCCTCATTGCCGGCAGTAAGTCGGGCTCGTTTCCGGTGAGAGTTGGACTCCGCCAAGGCTACCCCTTATCACCAATTCTGTTCATAACCTTTATGGACAGGATTTCTAGGCGCAGCCAAGGTGTGGAGGGCATCCGTTTTGGTGGGCTGAGGATCAGGTCTCTGCTTTTTGCAGATGATGTGGTCCTGTTGGCTTCATCAGAACGTGATCTTCAGCTTTCGCTGGAGCGGTTCGCAGCCGAGTGTGAAGCAGCTGGGATGAGAATCAGCTCCTCTAAATCTGAGACCATGGTCTTGATTTGGAAAAGGGAAGAATGCCTTCTCCGGGTCAGGGATGAGGTCCTGCCCCAAGTGGAGGAGTTTAAGTATCTCGGGGACTTGTTCACGAATGAGGGAAAATTGGAGCGTGAGATCGATAGGCGGATTGGTGCTGCATCTGCAGTGATGCGGGCGTTGTACCGGTCTGTCATGGTGAAGAGAGAGCTGAGTCAGAAGGCGAAGCTCTCGATTTACCGGTCAATCCATGTTCCTACCCTCACCTATGGTCATGAGCTTTGGGTAGTGACCGAAAGAACGAGATTGCGGATACAAGCGGCCGAAATGAATTTTCGCCGAAGAGTGGCTGGGCTCCCCCTTGTGAAACTCTGTCATCTGGGAGGGGCTCAGAGTAGATTTGCTGCTCCTCCACATCGAGAGGAGCCAGTTGAGGTGGCTCGGGCATCTGGTCAAGATGCCTCCTGGACGCCTTCCTGGTAAGGTTTTCCGGGCACTTCCAGCTGGGAGGAGACCTAAAGGTAGGCCCAGGACACGGTGGCGGGACTATGTCTCTCACCTGGCCAGGGAATGCCTTGGGATTCCCCCAGAGGAGCTGGCCCAAGTGGCTGGGAAGAGGGAAGTCTGGGCCTCTCGCCTTAGGCTACTGCCCCCGTGATCCAACTCCGGATAAGCGGATGAAAATGGATGGATGGATGAATGGATGGAAAACAAAGACACGTTAGCATGAATGTCATGCTCTAGAACCAAATATGAGTAAAATGTTCTCCAGCATATGTGCAGTATATCTTTTTAGGTTATTTGGGTCATTTTAATTCTGTGAAGCACTTTGAGTACTTGAGCACTTTGCTTGAAAAGCGCTTCATAAATAAAATCTGATTGGCTGATT